CTCTCAACAACTGTGCCACCAGGGAAGCCCTGGATTCTTAATCGTATGCTCTCCTCCTCCCTATGGATTTATTTAGAATCTAAACATATACTCAGAGTCCACATTTAAAAATGGAACCTTTTGTACATAAACAAGCATATACATGTTTGTGCAAAAAAAAAAGTTCACTAAAACGCAGGAAGTAACTGGATTTGATATCTAATAGGCAGTAAAGGCCATGAAATAATAACACATTTGAGTTTCAAAGCATAGTCTAAAATGGAACAATTAACTTTGAAAACACTTTCATGAAATTCAGAAAGGAGTATGACATTCAGCTGTCTACAAACTAAGTAATTTTGAGTTTCTTAAGATGCTTTACTTGAATCAGACTTCCAGAGGAAATGATTATGTTTAGGCCAGAACAAACATACTTTTCATGGAATGTGGTTCTTTTGTGAAATAATTTGTTTCCTAAACAGATAGGGGCCAAGCATGAACTCGCCCAAGGTTGGATTTGCATTTCCCCCTACTCCTTCTAAAGAGGATTCCGGAATATTGGTGTGGACACTGATATCGGTTAGAGAAATGCAAACACCATTCTACTACGGAAAAGGTATTTGTATCCTGTGACATTTTTCCTTCTTTAGTCTCCGGAAACATATACTTGTCCAGCCAATTAACGAATTTGAAGTTTTATATAAAACTTATTTTTATCTTTGAAGATTCACCATTTGGTTGTCATTATCAATCTGGTATATTTGTTAAATTGCCATTACAAGAGTTTTCCAAAAAAGTGAAACCTTTTCTTCAAATGAAATCGTATTTGTCTTACTGAGAAACCCAATAATAATATGAAAGCTGGAAGGGGAGCAGTTCTAGTCAAAGAGGAGGTGGGAGTTCAGTCCCCTTTTCCGCAGGGCAGCCCCAGTCTTATCTGAGATCGCCCAAGGCCCCATGAGTGACATTGGAAAACTGCACCAGATATTGTAGCTAAATCATTTCTTTCGGATGACTGGTTTAGGACTTGGATAATTGTGTGAACATGGCATTTTAAAAAAATTGCTAGTTCCTTTAAGAAATTTCCAATTGAGTAAGTTTAAAACATTACCACAAACTCCAAACAATCAGATGATTTCTCTCTCACCTTATATAGAAGTTCAAACATGGAGTGCCCAGTTTGAAGTAACTCCTGCTGCGAGCACTGCTCCCAACTGAACATGCCTCAACTCAAGTTTTCTGTGAGGACAGAGAGATTACAGGACTGGGGGAACCGAGGCCACTGGGAACTGATCGCTGGCGACACACCAGGCTCAGGTCTAAGTGCCTTAAACATATCACCTAAGTGAATCCTCCCTACAACCCTAGAGGGAAGCGTTATCGCCCCATTTTACAGATGAGTAAACTGAGGCTCGGGGTCATTAAGTCATTGGCCTGAGGTCACTGGCTTGTGAGTGGTGGTGGTTCAGCCTATATTGGGATGGAACCGTGAGTGCAGAGGGAGTGCTCTCACCCACCGGGCTCCCACTGGGCTCCCTGCCCCAGGGCCGTAGAGGATGCATAAATGGTCAGCAGACCTGCACTTCTATCCCATCTTCCTTGTTTCCGCTCCTGAGACCACCATTTCCGGCGGGGGAGGAGGGGGGCACTGTTTTCCAGTCTCGGGTGCATTTTGCATAGCCCTGTGCTCCTCCCCTCGTCCCCTCTGCAAACACCCCACCAAGTCCAGGCCCTCCCTCCTGGCTTCGCACTTAGACAGTTTTCTAGCCTTCCAGCTGGTCTCCCACCTCACAGCCGCCCCCTCCCATGTTAATCTACTAGAATACTGATTGGGTAATTCTATATCCTTTCCTACCAAATGAACTTCAGGCCTGGCCTTCAGGATTCTACCCACAGACCAGCCCCACTTCTGTCTCCCCAACACTTCAGTTCACCTGCTCTCTTCATGGCAGGGTTTCTTCCAGAAGTAATGGCATATTCCTAACCAGCACATGCAGATGACCTTGGGCAAGTCACTTTACTGATCCAGCCCTCAGATTTGTCACATAAGCTAAAAGGTTTGGACTTCTTGCCAAGGTTTGCTTAAACCCTAAGATTCCTCTTCAGTGAATCAGTCCTATGCAAAGTATATGGCCCTTTTGAAGAAAAACAAGCTGACTTGGAAATTAGAGTATATTTGAACCAATGTGTATGTTGCATCTTTAAGTATTTATTCAGCAAACACTTTTTAAGGCCCACTTTATGCCATGTTTTGTGTTAGTCACTTTGGATACAAAAATATTCCTTCCAGAGCGCTTCTTGTCTAGTTGGGGTAGACAGATATGTAAAAAAATAAATTGCATAAAGGGTTATGTGAGTGCCGTGTTTGGGGGACAGTAGCACAAAGAAAGGAAATACAAGAAAATTATTGAGTAAGTAAAAATTGTGTTTTAGTAAATCAGGTCACAAGATTCAAAATAAGTTAATCAAAAGTTTGTGAATCCTTCTGATTGGGATATGGGGGATAAATCCTGAGGGTGGATAACCCAGTGGTACTGGAAGTCTGTTATGTTTTGGAAATCTGCCTTCTAGCTTGTGTCAAACTTTGTGGAAGGGGGTAACTATTCTGAAAAGAAGGCAGTTAAATCTGAGTGGGAACAGGAACTCTCATATATTGCTGGTGGAAATGCAAATTGGTGCAGTCACTGAAAAGTTTGGCTTTTAAAAAAAATGTTAAACATGAATTCACCCCACAACCCATCAATTCCAGTCCTGGGTATCTACCCGAGAGAAGTCAAAACTATGTTCACACAAAGACTTGTGTGTAAATGTTCATAAGGAACATGCTTTATAATAGCAAAAAAGTGGAACCGATCCAGATATCCAACTGGTGAGTGGCTAAACAGAAGCGGTGGGTCCATACAAACGGAATACTATGTGGTTACAAAAAGGAATAAAGTATCAATGCTTGTAACATGGTTGAACATGATGCTGGTGAAAGGAGCCAGTCACAAAGATCAAATATTGTATGAATCCACTTACATGAAATGTCCAGAAAAGATAGCTCTA